TTTGCAAACCAGGAAGAAGGCCCTCACCCAGAAGCCAAATCACGGGCATCTTGATCTCGGCCTTCCGAGCCTCCTGAACTGGGAGAAACAAAAATCTTTTGTTTAAGCCACCCAGTTGGTAGCATTGTGTTATGGAAGCCTGAACTAAGCTAGAATTGGTCTTTACTTTGGTGGTGTTTTCCTTCAGGAAAGAGGACCTGCCCCATACCGCAGCAATTACAAAGCCTTCTATTTTGATAGCAAAGTAGGGTGACGATAGCTAATGGCAATGTATTGGATATTTCAAAATGGCTAGAAGAGAGGACTTGAAATATTCCCAATACATAGAAGGGATAAACACTCGAGATGATGGATACCCCAAATTCCCTGGCTTGATCATTGCACACTCTATGCCTGTAACAAAATATCACATGCACACCATAAATATGTACAAACATTGTGTGTAATTTAAAAATTTTCAAACGAAAGGAAAATAAAGAAGCCCACCAGAGGAAGAGCTACGTCTGTATTGGATATGGTACAAGGCAGGAAAAAGCATAATTAGAAAAAATAAAGGGGTTGGCTAAGAGATTGCTAAGATGCCTCTAGTTCAGATATTTGGTGGTGAGGCATTCCCCTAAATATCTTTGAAAGGGTGTGAGATTCCTGTCACTGGAGGCATTCAAGGAAAAAAAGCTAGCAGAGCAGTGGACCGGACTGCGCAAGACCCACGTCTTAAAAAACAGCTAGGTGAGAGGACCTCTCGGGGTTCACAGTGTGATGATTCTGCAATACGGCCAGCAGCTGCCCAGGAGGCTGAGAAGTGACTTGCTGGGTCTGTGCCTCAGAGGCCCAGAGATCAGAAATTAGGACCCAGAGGTATGGGTGTAGGAATGTTTACTGGACATCGAGTTCACCTGCCTGTCCCAGACAGATAACCTGATAGCGACCAAAGTGCCTCTCCCGTTTTCCTTGCTGGACACCAGCTTTTACCTTGGAGTTATTTGGGGCCTGGGATGGTCTCTCTAGAGCCTCTCTTTTGAATGAGAGACTTGTAGATGTATGTCTTTTCTATCCTCTACTGTTCTGACAAACACATCCTGGAACAGCCAGTGCCTTCTGACGGGGGACAGAGGGCAGGAAAGGAAGTGCCATGCTTGGGTTCTGTTGGGGTCGTGGTGACCGTCCAGGGTGCTTCTGCTCCACTATGCATTCAGGGAGGCCAGGACCACAGGATAGGCATGGCTGCTCAATGCTGTGTGCATGCTTTGAACCACGGGCTCAGCCCTCCAGCCCCAAGTTCTCCCTGCACTGCATGGAGCAGCAGTGAAGTGGCAGCCTGTGTGCATGGATATAGAGCCATCTCAAGACAGACGCCGCTACCTGCAGGAAAAGGCAAGGGGCCGTGCACGAGCTGCCGTCCTCCCATCCTCCCATTTGCGTTAAACGTAAATTTCAAATACATGTATGTTTACACACAGATTATCTCTGGAAGGGCGTTCCAACAAAATTACCTGTCGTGGATACTTCCTGGGACAGACACTAAATTTTCATTCCATTACTTTGTGTATCTTTTGAATTCTGTACCATATGCACAAATTAACTTCAAAATTAGATAATTTTTAGAGCTCTACTCTACAGTCAGGCTCTGTGGGTTCACATGAATGGCCTTAGCCTCTCTGTGCCTCAGTTTCCTCATCTATTAAAAAAATAAAGTTGTGTTAGGAGAATGCATGAGGCTGGGCATGGCAGCTCACGCCTGTAATCCCAGCACTGTGGGAGACTGAGGCGGGCGGGTCACCCAAGGTCAGGAGTTCCAGACCAGCCTGACCAACATGGCCAAACCCCATCTCTACCAAAAATACAAAAATTATCCGGGCACGGTGGCACACTCCTGTAACCCCAGCTACTCTGGAAGCTGATGAAGGAGAATTGCTTGAACGCATGGAAGGGGCCCTCAGTTCTTCCCAAGGAATGGGGAGGGCACCAAGGAAATAAGAGAGGGCGTGCTGCGGACTTGATGGATGGGAGGGCATTTGGCAAGGGGAGGGATGCATGTCAGGTGGACGGCAAAGCCTGGACAAAGGCTCAGAGTCAGTAAATGGCTGGTGGGGGAAGGGAAAGCCGGGAAGCACACCCCTCCTCACACATGCACGAGGCACACTGAGCCTTCATCCTTACCTCACCCAGGGTTCAAGAGACAGCCACCCATTAGCACCAATTATACTGAAGCAAATACAAGGACATCAACATGTCAATAGATGAAGCAACAAGGAGATGCTCAAAAACCATCTTCTTCTCTGCGAAGTTGCCCCTGACCAATCTATGTAAAATCACAGCATCCCCCTCCTCCAGTGCCCTACCCTCTGCCTCTTACCATCCTCTGACCCACTCAATAATTTAGTTGGCCAGACATGGTGGCTTATGCCTTTAATCCCAGCACTTTGGGAGGCTGAGGTGTGAGGATCACTTGAGCCCACAAGTTCCAGACTAGCCTGAGCAACATAGTGAAACCTTGTCAATATAAATAACTTTTCAAAAATTAGCTAGACGTGGTGGCACATGCCTGTAGTCCCAGCGACTTTGGAGGCCAAGGAAGGAGAATCACTTGAGCCTGGGAGATTGAGGCTACAGTGAGCTGTGATCAGGCCACTACACTCCAGCTGGGCAACATAGTCTCAAAAAACAAAAATGTAGTTATTTGTTTATTGTCTGTTTCAGGTCACCAAAATGAACATCTCAAGAGAGTTGGAGTTTTGTCTGTTTTATTCTCTGATTTATCCCCAGTACCTAGAACTGTGCTAGAGTTTTAGCATCTATGATAGATGTTTAAATAAGAGTGATCACCGTTTATTGGGTAATTACCATGTGGTCATCATTCCTTATGTGTACTTTAATTTTCACAATGCCGCCCTACAAGATGGGCATTTAAATTCCCATTTTGTGGAAGAGGAAACTGAGGGTTGAGAGTTATCCATTCAAATGCAGTTCCTTGGGCTCAGCTAAACCTCGAAAAGCACCTGGGTGTGTTTTTGAGTCCTCAGAAGCAAGAAGTGAAGTGTTCATGCCCCTGAACAGCTGGGCTGCACTCGCCCCACCCAACTTGAGCCTGGGCCTGTGTCCTTCGGGGTGGAGGTGGGGGCAGTTCTCACTTTCATGAGGGCTCCTTCCCTTGCTACAGGCTCCTCCTTTAACAGTGGCAAGCAGCAGCCTGCCAGGTTGTGACTCAGGTCCTGGAGCCAGAGCGTTGGATGCCACCTCTTACTATGGACTGTGTGACCTAAGTCCCACATTCCCCACCAGCAACATGGGTGATAAGAGATAAATAAAATAATCGACACCGTTGCTGACACATATCAGTAGTTGTATGACTCAGGTCCTGACAGGAAACAGAAAACACACTTGAGGCTTTAACTGAAGATAATTTAATTAAGAGGGTATTTACAGAAGTGCAGCGTATTAATATCCTAATCCTGCTATAAAAAAATCACCACACATTTAATAGCTTAAAACAACACAAACTTATTTCCTTACGGTTCTGGAAGTCACAAGTCCAGAATGCTAACATCAAGGTGTCAGCAGGGCTGGTTCCTTCTGGAGGCCCCAGGGGAGAATCCATCGCCTGCCTCTCCTGACTTGCCTTGGTTCCTGGTCACATCACTGCCACCTCTGCTTCCATCGTCAGATCACCTTGACCCTCCTGCCGCCCTCTTATGAAGACCCTAATTACATCATCAGCCCCACCTTGGATAATTCAGTATAATCTCTCTATCTAAAGATCGGTCAATCACATCTTTTTAAATCTTTTTTTTTTTTTTTTTTTTTTAGATGGAGTCTTGCTCTGTCACCCAGGCTGGAGTGCAGTGACATGATCTCAGCTCACTGCAACCTCCGCCTCCCAGGTTCAAACGATTCTCCTCAGCCTCCCGAGTAGCTGGGATTATAGGCGCCCACCACCACGCCCAGTTAATTTTTGTATTTTTTAGTAGAGATGAGGTTTTGTCATGTTGGGCAGGCTGGTCTCAAACTCCTGACCTCAAGTGATCCGCCTGCCTTGGCCTGCCAAAGTTCTGGGATTACAGGTGTGTGCCATTGCACCTGGCCAATTTAATCACATCTGCAAAGTCTCCTTTGCTATATAAGGTGGCAGATTCACAGATACCAGGGATTAGGACATGGACAACTTGAGGGCCATGACTGCCTATCACACACGAGAAGAAATGGAGAGGCAGTGGGGGTTTAGCCTCACTGGGAAACTGACCATCCGTAGGCTTGAAAGGGCAAGGATCGGGGAGGAACAGACGCTGGTCTCTCCTTCTGCTGGGCCCTTCCATTGACTAGAGCCATCAGAGGCCAGAAGGCAGAGAGCCCATGGTCCACAGATGCAACTGGGACCTAGAACAGAGAAAGGAAGGGATGGAGTGGGGAGAGACTGAAAATCAGCAGCACAAGACTTGAGTTGTCTTAGTTCGGACCATTGCTGTGTCGTGGCCTGGGTCTTCTGAAGGGGGTTCAGGGGATGGGGTGGTATGCCTCTGTCTCGGCCTCCTGCTCCAGGACTAGCAGTCCCCTCTCACGCCATCCCAGGGCACTGGATGGACAGTCTATTCTCAAGCCAAGCTGCCAGGATTTGGGGCAAAAGAGCTGCTGTGGAAATTCAAAGCAAAACAGCCAGAGGCTCTTCAAAGTGCACTTCCTTAACAAAGGACTTAGAAGAGGTAGGAAGAAAAGGCTCTGGCCGGCAGGTAGCCAGCTAAGCAGCACCATGACAACCCTGAGAAGGGCGAGCTATGTGGGGACTGGCTCTCTGATCTTCCCCAGACCCCCTCGCTGGCCCTTAGACAAACAGGAGGAATGGGGAGCCCAGAACTGAGAATTGAGAGACTAGGGTTCAGTCTCAGCTCTGCCATTGACTCTGTGTAACCTTGGGCAAGATACAGTCATTCTCTCTGCACCTCGGCTTCCCCATCTATGAAATGAGGATAATGTTACGAAGTGACATAGGACAGGTTCTCCAGAAGCAAGGAGTCTTAAGCAAGTAATTTATTGGTTGCAGGGGGTGCTCTGGGGTGAAACCTACAGGGGTAAAAGAAACGAGAAAGTAAGGGAAGAAGCCAGGCAAAGATGTGGGTCCAGCTGAAGTCTAGTCTCAGCCCCATCCCACAAGGAGCTCTGGAGTAGAGATGTCCCCTTGAGACAAAGGCAGGGCTGTGTATCCATCTTGGGGGAGGCTGAGGTCCCTGTTCTTCCCCTGTTATGGTTGACTGCATAGTGGCCCACAAAGACATCCACATCCTCATCCCCGGAACCTGTGAATATGTTACCTAACATGGTAGAATGGTCCTTTGCAGCTACGACTCAGCTAAGGGTCTTGAGATGGGGAGGGTATCCTGTGCTGTCAGAACAGGCCCAGTGTTATCACAAGCGGAAGGCCAGACGCTCCAGCAGGAGAGGTAACACTGCAAGTGAAGGCTGGAGGGATGTGAGGAAGGGGGCCCCAAGCCAAGGAATGCAGGCGGCTCCTAGAAGCTGAAAAAGGCAAGGAAACAGATTTTCCCGAGGCCTTCAGAAGGAGCTCAGCCCTGCTGCCATCCTGATTTTCGACTTCTGACCTCCAGAACTGTAAGAGAATACAATCCATGAATAAGGGCTTAATCCACTGAGGGAGTGGTCATTTGTTTCAGCAGCAACAGAAAACTGATACACCTGCCAAGGCTGGGTGGCCACACGATTTGTCCCAGGCCCAAGGGTCCTTGTCCCAGCTCTGTGGGTGCCAGCAGTTACTGACCCTGTTTAATAAGCACCTGTTGTGTGTCAGGCACAGGCGACAGTGTCTGTGCTGCACCCAAATCCTGCTGGATACTGCTTACCAACTCTGAGGGCCCCGTCCCACCCCTGGCTTCTGTGTGCTTTAGTATCTGATGGCCATCAGGCCGCTGGAACCGCTTTGACCCTGAGTGCAGAGAACTGGAAGCCAGGGTGACGCTCGGCCAGTGGCAGAGGGCCTTGCTTTGAGTCTGACCAACACAGAGCCATGATCTACACTGCGGGCACCCCTCCCCACCCTCCTGCATGTATCCTGGCTGGGTGCCTCCCTCGCCCTCACCAGCTCCCCTGGGAGCACACCCTTGATGCATCCCTTGTACAGGAATCCTCATCTCAGACTTTACTCCTGGGGTCCAGCCAGAGCAGCACTGTACCGGGGGTCCTTTCTATCTGGTGCTCACAGTTCCGCCCCGAGGTGGGGAGGGTGATGATTCTTATCTGACAGGAAACTGAGGCTCTGATCAGCTCACAGGCTGCACAGGTTAAGCCAGAATCGGAACCCAGACGCTGGAGAGGATGCTTTTCCTTCCTTCACTTGAATTTTGCAGCCTTCCAGACAGCCCCTTCCCCTGACTCCTCCTGCAGCCCTGGGGAACGGGAATCGTCCTGGTCTGCATTTCCTGCAGCAGGAAGTGGCTGAGTGCAGTGAGCTGGGCTCTGGACGAGAAGGGTCTTTTCGGGACCCCGCCCATCTCACCCCCAGACCCAGGGGGACTACTGAGACCTGAAATGTGGGTGCTGTAGCTGTGGCTCCTTGAGGGCACGAGAATCGCTGAAAACTCTGCAGGCTTCGTGCTGATTCTTCAATCAAATCCTGGCAAATGACTTATCCCTTCTTTCCCAGCCCCCTGTTTTCTCCTCTGTCACCTGGAGATCATAATCTCCACCTCACACAGCTGTGGCCAGAATGGAGGGAATAACAGATGGGAACGTGATTAGCACAGAGCCTGGCACAATGAGAGTGCTCCTTCCCTGCTCAGTTAATCCCTCCAAGCCTCAGTTTCTTTGTCCGTAAAGTGGGGAGAACATCTACTGCGCAGTCATATCTGGAGAAGCAGTAGCTGGCGGGGGTCGGGGGTTCAGAGTCCTGATCCTGGGTGACCTCGGACTAGCCACTTACCCTCTCCGTGGTCTGTTCCACCCTCTGGTTTGTGAGAGTCACGTGAGTGAAGGCAGTGACGTGCTCAGAACGTGCCCAGCACACAGTAAATGCCATTGTTGTCGTGTGTGAAGGCCTGGCTATGCGCCCAGCATGCAGCAAGGGCTCAGTAAACAATGGCTGCTTATTCGTCAGCATTTCCTGGCCCCTGTAATGAGGAAGGTCACCTCCACCTTCCCACACAGCCCTGTGGTTTCCATTCCCAAACTCCCAGGGCCCTGTGCTCAGGCTCGCTGGCTGGAGTTGATGTTGTGAGAAGCACGTGCCCTCCACGTCCCTCCACCTTTTCATGCCTCCAGCTCTCACCCCAAACATGCCTCTTCCACTCTTCTCTCCCAACCAGGGCCCATCCTGTACCTGCACTTGCTCTGCAGCTGCCATCAGCTACTTGGTGGTGACTCACACCAGAGCTGGGCTGATGCTGCACAGGTGTGTTCTCCTTCCCAGAGCTCCTTAAGGCACTGGCCCCGCCATTGTTGAGCGATGGCCAGCCCCTGGCACCCCACAGGGGTGCTGCCTGTCTCCTCTCCCCAAAGAAGGGTTGACTCAGCAGCCCCTTCCAGGTGGACAACCAGTTCCCCGTGACTTCCCACAAATGCCTCTCCTGCTCACCGGGGGTCCCTTTGTGTAGAAGCAGCGGCTCTGTGTGTGAAGCATCCTCACCCAGAGGGGAAAAGCAGCCCGAGTATCTCAGCCTGATGCCTCTCAGACTGAAAGCAGCAGCCATGGGAGGTTGTACGTTTCTTTTTCTGGACCACACAGGTCTGCACTGCAAGGCTCCTGTTGTTTTCTTTCCTAGGGCTCAGGATGGACAAGGTAGCCCAGAGCTGGACCAACTGCCAAGAGGAGTCCCTTCTGCCCTCTGCCCTCTCAACAGTAAGACTGGCTCTGCCTCCCTCCCACTGGGCAGTCCCCACTGCTCCAACTGCCTCCTCCATTGCACCCAGGAACTCATCTGGGCTCCAGCCTGAGGGAGTCAGGCCCCTCTCATTCTCCAGGCAGTGCTGAAACTGGGCAGGCAAGAATTTGAGTCTGACCCCAGGCTGTCTGCCTTGTTAAATAAGACCAACCTAGAAAACAAACAAAGAGTGAAAACCTCCAAACCCACGTGCTTGGAGCTCAGCCAGTTCAAACAATATTGACGAGTCCTGGCACTGGGCTAGGCCTGGGGCTCGGGGAGGAAGCCACACGTTGCCTACCCCTGAGACAATCACAGTCTAGTGGGAAAGAGAGACCAATAGATTCCAGTACCCAGTGAGGTCCAAGGCACTGCCAAGGATACCAAAGTCCAGGGGACACAGGCCGAGTCCTGCTGAAGACTTTCAAGGCCTCTGCCAAGAGGAGCACACCACACAGCCCATCTCCCTTCCCCTGCATGAACTCTAGCTGACATTTGCTTCTCTAGCTCCTCCTCTGACAGGCAAGCCTTTCTCTTTCTTTCCCTCTCCTCCTCCTTGAAGCAGCTCCCAGCCTCACTTGCTTCAATCTCTCTGCTCGATCTTGCCCACCCTGCACACACACATGCACTCACACACTTTCTCTCTCACACACACACACTCTCTCTCACACTCTCACATACATTCTCTCTCTCACATACACACTCTCTCACACACTCTCTCACACACTCACACACTCTCACACACTCTCACACACTCTCACGTACATTCTCTCTCTCACATACACACTCTCTCACACACTCTCTCACACACTCACACACTCTCACATACATTCTCTCTCTCACATACACACACACACACTCTCTCACATACTCTCTCTCACACACTCACACACTCTCTCACACTCTCACATACATTCTCTCTCTCACATACACACTCTCTCACACACTCTCTCACACACTCACACACTCTCACACACTCTCACATACATTCTCTCTCTCACATACACACACCCACACACACTCTCTCACATACTCTCTCTCACACACACACTCTCACACACTCTCACATACATTCTCTCTCTCACATACACACACTCACACACACTCTCTCACATACTCTCTCACACACTCACACACACACATTCTCTTACATACACATACTCTCTCACATGCACACACACTCACACACACATTCTCTCTCACTCACATACTCTCACACACATTCTCTCTCATATACACACTCTCTCACACATTCTCTCTCACATACACACACTCTTTCTCACACTCATACACTGTCACACACACCGTCTCACACACATACACATTCTCACACGCACATTCTAACATACTCTCACATACACACACTCACACACACATTCTCTCTCACCTACACACATTCTCACACACACTGTCTCACACACACACACACACTCACACACACTCTCACAGACATGCACTCTCTCACACACGTTCTCTCCCTCTCACATACACTCACGCTCTCTCTCACACACACACTGTCTCTCACACTCTCTCATACACACATTCTGTCACACACACACACATTCTAACATACACACTCTCTCACATACACACACATTCTCTCACATATACACTCTCTCTCACATTCTCTCTCACACACACACATTCTCTCCCACACACACATTCTCTCACATACACTCTCAAACACACTCTCTCTCTCACACACACCCTCACACAGTCTCTCACACATTCTCTCACACACTCACACACACTCACACACACACATTCTCTCACACACTCTCACACACACACATTCTCTCACACACTCTCACACACTCACACACTCTCTCTCTCACACACACATTCTAACATACACTCTCACATACCCACACTGACACACACATATTCTCTCTCACATACACACATTCTCTCTCACACACACTCACACACACATACTCCTCTCTCACACAGTCACACACATATTCTCTTTCATTTACACACTGTCTCACGCACACATTCTCTCTCACATACATTCACACACACACTCTCACACTCACACACACACTCTCACACTCACACACACACTCTCACACACACACTCTGTCTCACACACTCACACACTCTCACACCCACACCCTCTCACATACACACACTCTTTCACACACATACTGTCTCACACACACTCAAACACACTTTCACACACATTGTAACATACATTCTCTCTCACATATTCTCTCACACACACATTCTCTCACACACTCACACATTCTCACACACACATTCTCACACACTCTCACACACACATTCTAACATACACACACTCTCACATACACACACTCACACACATACATTCTCTCTCACATACACACATTCTCTCACACACACCTTCTGTTCACACACACAGTCTCTCTCACACATATTCTTTCACATATACACACTCTCACACACACATTCTCTCACATACACACATTCTCTCACACACACACTCACATTCTCTCACACACTCTCTCACACACTGTCTCACACACACTCTCTCACACACTCACACACACATTCTCACACACTCTCACACACATACATTCTCTCTAACATACACACACTCACACACTCACACGCATTCTCTCTCATATACACTCTCTCACACACATTCTCTCACATATACACACACACTCACACTCACACACACTCTCACATACACACACACACTCTCAAACACGCACACTCTGTCTCACACACTCACACACCACATACTCTCACACACACACTCTCACACACACAGTCTCTCTCACAACATTCTCACACAAACTCTCACACACACTCTCACACACTCTCACATACTCTCACATACACACTCTCACACACACACACAGTCTCACAACATTCTCTCACACACAAACTCTCACACACACTCACACTCACACACACACACACTCTCACATACTTTCACATACACATACACACTCTCACAACACTCTCTCTCACACACACATTCTCTCACATACCCAATCACAGTCTCCCCACTCCCAAACATACCCTCTTTCCTCCTCACTCCATATAATATAGAGCGATTTAGTATCACCTTTTCTCACTTGACTGTCCCCTTGGCATGCCCCCCACTCTCTGCCATCCCCACGGCCCCCTCCTCCACCATCAGCCTCCTCCCTGCAACCAAGGGACTCAGCTAAGTGTTGTCTCTGAAGGGAATTCCGATGACCATAATTTTCTCAATCTCATTGCAAATTTTTAAAAACCTGGCTTTTTAAAGGGCTAAACTGCTCATGAATTTTTAAGCGCCAACATAAGACTTTAAAGACATTTCCTGCTAATGAGATTAAGTGAGATAATGTATGTGGCACGTGGCGCACTTCCTGCACACCTGAGATTGCACTCTGAGGCCGTTGCTTCAGGCCAAGCCTCAGACGGCCAGAGGGTCTCCTTCACTTTGGAGGGAAAGTTTGCAAAGCCTTGCAGTATGGTGTGACGCTGGCAGCAAAGGACAGGGCGCCAGGAAGGAGTCCTGCAGAAACCTTCGGGCAGGAATGTGTAAGGGTGGGTGTGCGCACATGTGTGTGCGTGTGCATGTGTGTGATCGGGAGGTGAGGAAAACGAGATGTGTTGGGAGAACTCCAACCACACACTGCCTGGCTCATCCCTCCCTTGGGGTCTCACTCAGCTGCTGTCTCTGGCTGCTACCACCATGCTGGCCTCAGGAGGTCACTGTGATCATCACAGTCCCTTCTGCTTTGGGTTGAACCCTTTTCCCATAGTTCCCTGCAATAGAATGGAGGTTGGCTGTCATTTCCAAGAGAGTTTTGCAGGAAGAACATGATGAAAACCTGATTATATTTGTACTCACCTTTGCACTATAGTTATTTCTTAAAGTTCAGTTTCCAGTTCCCAGAGATCCTGTGAAAGTGGCAAAGACATCTGTAGGCCTCTGAGTCTCTACCCTAAGACAACCACAAAGACACAAGTGTCCACCTGGGCATTCATCTGGGGGCGCTCTACTGACCAAGGGTCAACCGCGGTGCCTGGGCATGGGAAAAGGAACCTCCACCTCCTGCCCTGTGCTGGACTGTGACAGGAACTTTATATTCCCATCCGCTAACTCACTCTTGCCCCATAACAACCTCATGACACATGGTCCAGTAAGGCCAAGCTGCTTACCTAAGGTCACAGAGTTGGAAATAACCCCATTTATGGAATGTACTACTGATAAATGCAAGGATTTACAAGGGCTCAAGCTCAATCTAGGCAAGAAGCATGGGGCTTTGGTGGTGACCCAAAGCCTAGCTCTGCAGCAGCTCAGCCCGGCCATGCTTCCTTCTCAGCTAGAGCAGGAATTTTGGATGCTAGGATCCTGGCGAGCCTCAGCCGGCTATTCCTTTCTCTCCCTCCTCCACCAGCCACTGAGTCCTCCTGCCCCTACCCAGCCCCAGCCAGGCTCTGTGGGTGGGGCAGCACTCTCTTCTGGTTCTTAGTTGCCATGGACCTTACCCTCTGGCAGGACCCCTGCTGTCCTCTCCTTCAGGGTGGATGGCAAGATGGGACCAGCACAGCTCCTGATACAATGAACCCTGGGCTCTAATCCCAGCCCTGCCATGTATGAGCTGTGTAACCTCAAGTATGTGAACTCATCTCTCTGTGCCTGTTTACTCCCTAAGATGCAACTAACAGTAGTACTGTACCCTAAGAGCTGTTGTGAGGCTTTCTTCACCTTTTGAAAGAAAGAAAGAAAGAAAGAAAGAAAGAAAGAAAGAAAGAAAGAAAGAAAGAAAGAAAGAAAGAAAGAAAGAAAGAAAGAAAGAAAGAAAGGGAAGGAAGGAAGGAAGGAAGGAAGGAAGGAAGGAAGGAAGGAAGGAAGGAAGGAAGGAAGGAAGGAAGGATGGAAGGAAGGAAGGAAGGGGAAAAGACAAGACTATATAGCATTTACTTTGTGCCAGACACGACTTTAAGCATTTTATCCCTAATTTCATCCTCATGACAATCTTATAAGGGAGCCACTGTTGCTATGTTATTTTACAGATAAGGACTCCAAGGCACAGAGAGATTAAATAACTTGCTCAAGGTCACACAGCTAGTAAGAGGCAGAGGCAGGATTCAAACCCAGGCAGTCTGGCTCCAGAGTTCAGGTGCTTAACTTTCTACTCTATAGTGAAATGATAAGTGTGAAGGATTTTAGCATAAAACTCAACAAAGAGAAAATGCTTGGTCAATGGTAGCTATAGTTGTCATGTGACCTCGGCAGGTCATTTTACTTCTTTTTTTTTTCTTTTTTTTTTTTTTCCAGACTGAGTCTCTGTCTGTAGCCCAGGATGGAGTGCAGTGGCGCAATCTTGGCTCACTGCAACCTCCGACCCCTGGGTCCCCGTTCAAGCAATTCTCCTGCCTCAGCCTCCTGAGTAGCTTGGATTACAGGCACCCGCCACCTTGCCCAGCTAATTTTTGTATTTTTAGTAGAGACAGGGTTTCACCATGTTGGGCAGGCTGGTCTTGAACTCCTGACCTCGTGATCCACCAACCTTGGCCTCCCAAAGTGCTTGGATTACAGGTGTGAGCCACCGCACCCGGAAGGTTATTTTACTTCTGTCTCAATTTTTTCATCCCTAAAATGGGACTAGTGATCGCTCTGTGCTGGGCTTGGGGTGAGAGTTCATCAGAATAATGGGTGTGAAATGTCTGTCACAGATCCTAACACAGAGCAGGGCATAGGCTCTTGGTGGTTCTCCTTTCTAGAAGGGACCTACAGAATGGGGTCGGCACTGGTAGTAGCTAGACACATCCACTGAGTCAGCAAAAGCAAGGTGTAAGAACACCATCAGCCTTGAGGGGCCTGGGCAGAGCAACAGATGTGTGGGCAGCCGGAAATGCAGAGCACGGATGCAGGGCCTCTGATGTGGGAGGTGGCATCTGGGGGTTCAGATGCAGCATTGGGAAGAAAGGGGTGAACACTTATGTGGTCATCTAATCCTCACAATGACCCTGAGAAAACAAGAGTCTCAGAGAGGGGATGTGACTTGCCCAAGGCCACGTCTCTAGAAAGGGGTGGCAATGAGGTTTGCCTCCCAGACGCCTCTGCGGTTCCTCTCTCCCCACACTGCCCGTCGGCAGAATGAAGGGCCCAGCTACGAGGCCAAGCTGTAGGTTAGGAGTAACTGTTTCTTAAGAAAGTCCAGGCCGGACGCGGTGGCTGACGCCTGTAATCCCAGCACTTTTGGAGGCCGAGGCGGGCAGATCACTTGAGGTCAGGAGTTTGAGACTAGTTGGCCTGGCCAACATGGTGAAACTCCATCTCTACTAAAAATACAAAATTAGCCTAACCTGTAATCCCAGCCACTCGGGAGGCTGAGGCAGGAGAATCGCTTGAACCTGGGAGACGGAGATTGCAGGGAGCTGAGATTGTGCCATTGCACTCCAGCCTGGGTGACAAGAGTGAAACTCCATCTCAAAAAAACAACAAACAAAAAAATTAGCCGGATATGGTGGCCACGCACCTGTAGTCCTAGCTACTCGGGAGGCTGAGGCAGGAGAATTGCTTGAACCTGGGAGGCGGAGCTTGCAATGAGCTGAGACTGTGCAATTGCACTCCAGCCTGGGCAACAGAGCAAGACTCTGTCTCAAAAAACAAAAAAGTCGCCGGGCGCGGTGGCTCACGCCTGTAATCCCAGCACTTTGGGAGGCCGAGGCGGGCGGATCACAAGGTCAGGAGATCGAGACCACGGTGAAACCCCATCTCTACTAAAAAAATACGAAAAAAAATTAGCCGGGTGCGGTGGCAGGCGCCTATAGTCCCAGCTACTCGGGAGGCTGAGGCAGGAGAATGGCCTGAACCCAGGAGACGGAGCTTGCAGTGAGCCGAGATCGTGCCACTGCACTCCAGCCTGGGGGACAGAGCAAGACTCTGTCTCAAAAAAAAAAAAAAACAAAAAAGACAAAAAAAAAACAAAACAAAAAAAGTCCAGCAAAAGAAAGGCGACAGTCCCTCCTGCAAAAGTGTCCCAACTAAGCAGGTAGTACGGTGGGGCCTGGAGCCGGGGAATGCAAAAGGGCTTGGCTGAGGACAGCAGCAGGCAGGCAGGGATGAACCGGCGGCACGAGTGGCTGGAGGCTGCCTGGAGTCTGGCTCAGCCCTGGGGAAGGGGGTGGGCAATGCCTCGCTGGGGCATGGAGGGAGGATCCCCTGCGATCTAGAGAAGGGCATAGGGTGCTTCCCCCACCTCTGCCAATCCCCCCAGAAGATTTTCCCCATACACAGTAAAAGGAAAGGCTCTCAAAGCAACCGATTGGGAGAGTCACAGCAGGGGTGACAAGAGTGCTTTCTAGGGCAGTTGTATGCTATCTTCAGAGGCAGAAAGCCACTTCCTGTGGCCTCAATGGTGCCCTGTGAAAAACCAGGCCCTGGCCCAGCAGCCAAGAGGGCCGGGATAGGTTCACCCAGACCCATTGCCCTACGAGCAGATTTGTTTTTTCCAGAGCGACTCTTCACGGCTTCTCCTCTTCCCCGGTGACGATGACAGCCAGCGATGGGCCGACAGCCTACTCTCAACCTGGCCTGGGTCTGGTGGCCCCAGCGTGAGATCACCATAGTGAGGTATGACCTCAGCATCGCCATGGGGATGTTCAGATGCCACGCTGCCTGCAAGCAGCACCTTTTTCCCCGGGAGAGTGGGTGGGGACCGTGGCTGATGCTGACTACGTATGATGTGGCCTGCTCCTGGCTGCTGGGGCTGTTTGTCCCCAAACATATGTTGTCAGATCTCAGCTGAGTGGGGTGGGCCAGGGGACTCACTCAGGACCTGCGGGCTCTATTGTGTGTCTGTGTGTTTGGGGTATGGCGAGAGGTGTTTATTAGACCTCACGGGCAGCCTCATTTTCTTGTCTCCCTGGGCTCGCCTGGGCTGCTGATCACTGTGCTCCCAATGGGCCTCGGATTGACATTGGCAGCAACCTGGTCTCCATAGCAACCAGCTGTGACATCACAAGGAACCCATGGACCCTGGAGCTGGAAGAGAGGAAGCTTGAATGCCTGTTTGGGGAAGAAAGCCTTTGCTCCCCCTCCTTCGGCCTCTCCTGTGATAGGGGAAGAGGACATAGAAACGCTGAGAGAGCCAGGGCCTCCGCTTCTCTGGAGGTTTGAGCGGGGTCTACTCGAAATCCTTCCCTTCCTCTCTTTGTCCCCGTTCTCCTCATCCCTCAAAAAATATGTATCTCATTTTCCTCAACTGTAAAATGGGGACATTAGAAGCCGCTCTTGAGTGTTTATTATATGCCAGGCACTATTATAAGCATCTTGCATGGATTTTCTCATTTACTTCATAACAACCCTATAAAGTACTTTCTTCTTAGTATTCCCCCTTCTGTAAGTGGAGGGAAAGGAAGCACAGCAGAAGGATTGGAATCAAGACAGCCTGGCTCCAGAGCCTGTTTTCATAACTACGAGAGAATGCACCAGATTCCTTCTGAACGCCGCCTGCCACGTGCGCGGCTACAACTCTATTTCCAGCCATGCTGTGGCAAGCAGTTCCGGGCGGGCTTCAGCTCCCTTTGCACCACCAGCACCTCGCCTCCTGTCAGCATGAGGCGGTTTTCATTTTCTGCCCGGGGGCTTCCGCAGCACCCCAACACAAGGCTGGTAGGAGCGGGCTCAGCGGGAGGACTTGTGGAGGGAAGTTGCTTCCACTGAGCCAGCCTCAACCTGGGGTGCACAGGCGCCACCGGGTGAATGCTTCTGCCAGGCGGTCATCTGGCCCACAAGGTCCCTCTGTGCACTGCTTGGAAGGTCCTCTGTGCACTGCTTGGAAGGTCCTGGCAGCGCTGAGTCCCAGACACCCATGGCATGACCTAATAATGCACCGTTATCTTGGCTCTTCTGCTTTCTCTTTTTTCCCATTGGTATTTGTCCCTCATTTCTGGTCCCTAGAATGACTTCCAAAATAAATTCCCTATACACAAGTCTTTGCATCGGATTCTACTTTGGGGGGGATCTTAAGCTAAGAGAGTTGCAGCCCTGAGAACGCCACTACAGGGGGGCATTTTGGAGCTGGGTCACTTGGTGAGGTGCAATGAGGATGCTGTTGTCGTGGGATGTGTGATGGTGGCCACCCTGGTATTACGGTGATGAAGACCGTCCATGTGGTGGGCTGGGAAGAGGTACAGGTGATGGCGGGGTAGGGGATCAGATGAAAGCACTGGCATCTAAACAATCCATGGGCAATGGTCCTTACAGGGATGGTGAGGCTGGCTGGCGGCTAACTGCTCTGGAAGCCTTAAAGGAAGAAAACAGCAGGCTTGGGTTGATCCACTGTCAACTCAAGTCATGCAGTGGAGAGCAAAATCCCCATGGTGCTGTTGTAAGAGACTCTCGCCTTCTGCAGCCAAAGGGTATCCTGTACTGAAAATCAGGCTCGGCATGGAATTGGGGGCAGGAGGGTCACAGGGTTGTGAAGGAGAAGGAGGGCATAGCTTGGCCGGATCTCGGCCAAAGTCAAGAACCCTGCTGGGCAGAGAGTGGGATGCTGAGACCTCAGGTGGGGATAATTGGGCGGATGATTCTGAGAATCTTGGGGGCCCAGACTCCTCTGGAACTTTGAGCACTGAACTCCCATAACTCAGCAAAGCAGTCCTTGGCCAGTTGGGCCAGGCCAAGGCTAGGCTTCCTCTGGGGAAAGCTACCATGTCCCCTCATCCCCACCCCATCTCCTGCTTGACTCAGTCCCCCGCTGAGAAACCCCAATCAGTAATGGGTATTGTCCACGCAGAATACGAGGTCCTGCAGCTTAATTCACATCCAGTGAGATTGAGATTAATTCAGTCTTGAGCAGAAATACAACTTGAGCAGCTGGAGAGTAGACCTCAGCTCGGGTTCAGCTAGACCTGGGGACTCCTCCCATTCAGGGCCCAGGCAGAACGTCACCCTGTCGATTTCACGGCTTGTTGGGATGCTTAAGGAAGCTCATGGATCCAAAATGCAGTATCAGTGACTGAACAGGTTTTTACTGTACACCAGGCACTGTTTGATATGAGACAACAGCTGTAAATCGGCTCTTGTCTGTTTTCAAAGCACTCACGTGAAGTAGGGAAGATAAGAGCATCTAAACAGACCGTGCTGCCAGTAGTAAAGCTGCTTTTGAGATGTGACTAAGTGCCTGGCTTTGTGCTGAACTCACCAATACACAGTATCATAAGATTCTTAAAATGACCCTACAAGGGAGAGATTTTCACCCCCATTTTACCAATGAGAATGGTGGATAGGGCTGGGATTTGAACCCAGCCTTATCTTGCTCTTCCCTCTGCACCCAGCCTGCTTATCTTGAGACAGCGTGACAGCCTCAGCAGAATGGTGTCCAAGATGCAGGGGAGAGAAAGATTGATTTGGCTTGGTGGGACAGTCCAGCAAGGCTTCCCAGGGAGGGTGATAAGGCAATTTGTGTATTTCAAAAGCTGAATAAATGTGAACCACAGTGGGTTATGATTAAGCACCTATAGTGAGGGCTCCATCTTGGGATCAAGTTTTTAGAAATGGTTCCAATCAAAGCAAGCACAAGCTCCAGCCACTGCATAATACTTAGTTAGAGGTGGCTCCCCAGGTCACAGAGCCCACCTCTGACCCCAGAATCCTGAGAGACCAACGCTCCTGTGCTCAGCTCTTTCTCTCTTCCAGCCTTTCTGACAAATGAGCCTGTAGGGTGGGGGTTTCTCATCAGGGTAGTTTTCATTTTTTTTTTTGGGCCTGGAGGGAGGTAGAGCTGTACTGATTGGGCTCCGGAATTTTGAATCACAGGAATTCACTCAAGCTGGGTTCAGCAAAAACAGGAGGACTTATTTATGAGGCCTCCCCCGGGGTGTCTTCGGCAGGAAGGGCCAGGTCTGGGGAGACTAAAGCATGGACTAAAGCACTTTCCTTCCACTCTGGGCACCTTTACTTGCTATTTCAAGTTAACTCAATTCAACAGATGCTGGGCTCTCACACTGTAGCCAACCTTCAGGTGGGTAAGAGGGCAGGCACCAGGTTCCGGTGCACCCCACTTCCTGCCACACCCCCGGAACCCAGCATCTAGAGCATACAGCAATATGGCTACCCCCAGCATCCGTTGAATTGAATTGACTTGGAATAGCAAGTAAAGGTGACCAGAGTGGGAGGAAAGTGCTTTCTGTTACAATTTAAGAAGACCAAGTCCTCCCAGAGGCCTTGCATGTGTGTCTGTACATGCGGTTTCTCTCTGGGTAGACCTTTACAAGCCAGTAATGTCGACAAGGGTCACTCTTCCTCATTTCCGGATGAAGAAACGAAATTGCCCAAGCAATTTGGTTTGAAGCAAGTTGCCCAAGGTCACACAGCAAGAGGAGTCTCTGGCTCAGTATTCCTCACTGGGAGTTCAGGAATCCCAAGAGGAGGGGGTTTGCATCATACCTGGAGATAGGTTTCTAGATTCTAAAATAAGCCATACAATCTTAAGACACTTTTTACAGATAGAAGGAAATGCCTCGGAGCCACAGGGGCCTGGGTTTTGAATTCTGCCTTTGTCATTTCCTAGGTGAGCTTGGGCAAGCGATTTATCTTCTCTGTAAGGACAGTGACAGTGCTTCAGAGTATTCTTGGGATTGGAGGAGTCAGTCAATGCATTTTACCACTGCATCGAGTAAACGCTCAATCAATGTACGCTCGATCAATGTTAACTATTGTTTATTGCAGTCATAAGTCACCTAACCTCTGAGCCTTAGTATTCTCAGCTACAAAATGGGGGTAATGATACTTCCTGAACAGAGCTGTTGGGAATGAGATAACATGAGATAAAATGAGATAACATGCCCAAGTGCTATCCTGGCACCCGGCTCCCCACATGTTCACTGCTTCCCCCTGCGATGCTCCCTCCTGTCAAATTTACGCTTCTAGCATAAATGAGGCGCCGGTCTAAGAAAAGCACCACTTGTGAACTCAAACGCTTATAGGCGTGAGCTGAGGAAGCATAAAGCAACTTCCCTCTCCCACCTGGTGAGAGAGCCTCCACGGGTTGTAGGGTAAAATGGTCGAGTGCTGAGTGGGTGTTCTTGATGCTGGAAGGATCCTGCTCCTCTCAGTTCCAGGATTCTCCACGGGGCCTGGAGGTGGATTCTCCAGGGGGCCCATTAGCTAACCGGACAAAGGCAGCCAGACCTGGTTGTCAATCTGGGCGGGGCAGATTCCACAGGGAGATGCTTTTGGCTGGGTTGACCAGAGGTAGAGCCGAATGTGCTGGGATGCAGGGCACGGACAACTTCTGAAGACTGAGCCAGACTTGAGCCTCCTTCCCTCCATCTTTTTTAAACAAACCACATTTTTTTGTTTGAGACAGTCTCGCTGTGACGCCCAGGCTGGAGTGCAGTGGTGCGATCTCGGCTCACTGGAACCTCCAACTCCTGGGTTCAAGTGATCCTCCTGCCATAGCCTCCTGAGTAGCTGGGATTACAGATGCCTACCACCATGCCCAGCTAAATTTTTTTTTCTTTGTTTCTTTTTTGAGACAGAGTCTTGCTCCATTGCCCAGGCTGGAGTGCTGTGGCACAATCTCGGCTCACTGCAACCTCTGCCTCCCGGGTTCAAGCAGTTCTCCTGCCTTAGCCTCCCAAGTAGCTGGGATTACAGCTGCGTGCCACCACGCTCAGCTAATTTTGTGTGTGTGTGTGTGTGTGTGTGTGTGTGTATTTTTAGTAGAGATGGGGTTTTGCCATGTTGACCAGCCTGGTCTCGAACTCCTGAGCTCAGGCAATCCACCTGCCTTGGCCTTCAAAACTGCTGGGATTACAGGTGTGAGCCACTGCACTGGGCCAATTTTTGTATTTTTAGTAGAGATGGGGTTTCACCATGTTGACCAGGCTGGTCTTAAACTCCCGACCTTAGGTGATCCACCCACTGGTCTTGAACTCTTGGTCTCAAGCAGTTCTCCCATCTCAGCCTCCCAAAATGCTGGCACTATAGGAATGAGCCACTATGTCTGGCCATTAAATAAGCCACAAATTAATGAGCACTTACTGCGTTCCAGGCACCATGCCAAGCAGTTTCCATGGATTCCAGCCACTGCCATCTGGGCAGCCAGCCTTAGGCAAATGCTTGATGTCTCTGAGCCTCAGCCTCCTCACCTGTGAAATGGGCTTCAGGATGGTGTCTGCCTCATAGGGCTGTTACGAAAATTAAATGAGCTAATGCATTAGCAGTCATACTAAATACCAACTAAATCTTGGTATTATATACAGACATTCATCCATTTAAGCTTCACAACAATCTCCACTTCTTTAAATAAGAAAATAAAAATTTAGAGAGGTTAAATCAGTAGTTCCTAGGTGCTGACCTGACCCCATACAAATGCACATGGAGAGCATGTGAGAAACCAGGGTCCCTGCAGAGGATGATTCCATGAGTGAGCCTGGCATGGGCCCCAATAATGCAGGCTCGTCATGCCTGCAGCATCCCAGGTGATTTGGAAGTGGGAAGCCCTGCTGAGTTAGGTGATTTGGCAAAGGCCCCACTGCCGGTAGGGACAGAGGTAGGATTTGAATGTTGAGGCAGGACCCTAAATCACCATTATTTACTACGAAGAGCATGCCCCTGGTGGGCCTGCCCTAACCCGCTCTCTGCCACTCCCTAGGGCTGGAGGATTCTGGCCTGGCCCACTCTCTGAGGAGGAGGGCTGGGTGGAGCTCTCTTGAGCAGGGTCACTCAAGCAACCATTTGCAGGCCACCCTGTCCCCATCATGGGTTCCTTTTCCAAAAGCCACCTGAGCCGAGACAGTGGGTACCCATCAGCCCTTGTGGATTGTGGAATGTCTCACCAACGGTCAGAAGCACATCTCCCCTGGTGGCTCCCCACAGCCGTCCTCCCCAGGGCCCATCTCCACCCTCTGGTGCCACTGGGCATGCGGAGAGCCTCTGGCAAGCTGCAGGAGCTGCCAAAGCATTTGGTTATTTTGCTCATTTT